AGCTGGGTATGAAGCCATGCGAATGTTAATGATGATCTCCAAAGCTGTTTCAAAAAAGGCTGCAATTACTTTCTGATGTAGAAGAACTCTTTTGTGAAGGGTCGAAGTCACCAAAATCAGGAAATAAAGGAGGATTTCCGGAGTTAGATGCGTGATTTGGTCATGACTGTCAATATGTCAGGACTGGTGACCGACAAGCTGGCAGTCACAGGCACGCCCTGCATCGGTGAGAGCGGCGAGAGCAATTGAACAATTTTGCCCCTTTTCATTACTTATAAGATTCCCTGAGTATTTTCCTGATCTTTCAGCTTTTTTCACAAAGCCTTGGAAAGGGGGGATGGAAGCTGACAATGACAGTCTTTAAGAAGAGCATTTTTTTGTTAATGTAAGAAGGTAAGAAAGAAGAGATTTTGTTTTCCTAATAAGAACAGAGCAGAGCTTAGCGACTAAGACACCTTCTCACAAATCCACAAAGAACTGAAAGTTTACCCAATTCGAAAATACCCCAGGAAATGTTCATGCATATCTTCTAATTCCAAGTCACTTAACTTGCATTTAAACATGCTAGCCTGGCAAAATCATATTGGTAATTTCATTGGTACAAATGAAATAGATCTGAATGGAGAAGGATCTGGGGAAAAGAAAGAAAATTAAAATTGTTGCCTTTAGGAAAATAACACTTTTATAACATAAAAAATTTTTTTAATAACTTTATCTACCAAAAAAAAATATTTTTTTAAATAGTTTGAATTCCAGCAATTAGCTGAGCCAGGGAGCTGGTGTGGGTGTCATCTCCTTACTTAGGTACCGACTTAGGGCGTCTTGTGCACCCCGCCTCACAGAGTACACAGGGGCTGATCACAGCGTTTCCTTTCAATGTTCTTTGAAGATTAAACGTGAAAATATCTGTGAAATGATTGCTGTACGGTCGATGCACAGCAGAGGCAACTCCCCCTTCTTGATCTCTATTTGTATTTAATAGAATAATGTACGTCTAGGCCACTGGTATAAATATTTGCCTATCAGGTTATCTGTCTACTCAATTAGCATAAAACAGGACCCAGGGTACTCCCCCCACACCTCTCTCCTCTCCCTCCTCCTTTCCCTCTCCCTCCCTTCCTCTCTCTCCTCCCCTCGACTCCCTTCAGGAAACCCTAAGTCTCTTAACTCCTCCAGCTTTCCCCCAGGATCTGACTTGTTCTTTTTCTCATCTTCCAGCCTCAGGCAGCTAGCCCCATCCCACTGGAAGAGCGCTGAAGGTGGGGGAAGGAAAAAACGTGATCTCTCCCCAGTCCAGTCCTGAAATGAAACAACTGCAAGGCAGACAGACACACGCCGCCGTGACTGAGGCCGTCTACCGCTTAGCGCTAACTTTGCCGTGTTAACACGCTAAAAAGAGGCCCCATTTTCACTTCCCAAGCATGCTAGAGACTCCAGTCTGACCTCCCAGACGGACCAAGGGTGGCCAGAGGGAATGTGGTGTCTGCTCTGAGGAAGAGCTAATCCTGGCAGTCAGGAATTCTAGGGGAAAAAATGCGTAGACAAAGGTGTATATATAAATATAGGGTATGTTTCATACAATCAATTAGTTGGTAAGGGAGACACATCCTGAACATGTATCGGATAAATGGATTTTCCTAAGGGGTTTGGATGGTTTTACTGCAGGAAGATGAACAAAGAAAAGCAAGTGCTATAATTATTGATCTGCGTGAAATTAGGCACAGACCACACCAGTTCAATCTTCATACGGCCCTCCTTCCCACTAAAAGTACAAATTACTGGCATTAGAATATCAGACGAATAGCAGGAAGGCCTCTCACAAAAGTGATTAAGAAAGCACGAACAAGCCGAAGAAAACGGCAGCGGAAAAGAATCATTGGCTGTGTAGTAATTTTCCTCTTTGAATCTAAGCACGTAACCAGTAAGGAATATATTATGGAAAACTTATGCTCCATGTGAAGATTTAATTTGTCCAACAATAACTCCGCTCCCCCCAAAAAATGGCAGTTATGTCGTTTTACAAAATTATCTGAACAGTTTAAGGTTTCTTTGTCATTAAAACAGCACTGGTCAGATCATCAATGACACGACCAGAAAATGCTGCTGTCAGCGAGATTACCACGTCTGGCCATTTGCCAAAGTGAGAATTTCCAGCTTTATATACTGACCAAAACTACTTCTATTTCCTTTTTTACTGCAATATAGTTTAATTTTTTTATATCATTGTCAAATATAAAACTTCATACCCAAAGGGACTGAAAAACGTGCTTTTGTAAATTCATAGAATCAAAGGTACGGATGAATTTCAACCCACCATTGAGGACCAAGAATAAGGAAAATTAAGTGGCATGCTCACCGTCAACATGTTACTGGTGGAGTTAGAACTGAAATATGAGTTTTATAACTCCCAGGCCTTCCCAAAGGTTATCGGCAAGAGGCTTTGGGCTGGAAATGCTCTATTCCTGTCTTTGCTGATGACATTCCTGACGCCCTCAGGGTTCCTTGTTTTCTCCCACTGGGGAGAAATGTCTTTCCACATATCATGACCCCCATAAAGGCCCACTCATAAATCCTCTACCACTTGGCTTCCCATTGTCCAAGTTACAGGGTTGATCCCTTTGGAGCAGCCAAGTGTCAGTGCAAAGGGTTAATGGCCAGGGCTCACAGGCGACTGTCACCAGCCAGGCTGCTCTCCATTCCTTCCTGCATGGAGGAACACTGTGGACACTGCCAGGACCTGTGGCTCTATGGGGGTTTATCAGGGTTTTGACCCCTCCAGAGCTGAGGCTAAAATGTCAGGGGTACTCTCTCCTCCTGTTGTCCCTGCCACTGTGCCCCACCTATGTCTTCCAGAATCACAGACACAACTAACTCAAATGGCAGCCCTGCCCGGGAGAGGCCCCGAGCTTTGATCTGCTTCACCGGTGCCTTGCCTTCTTAAAGGCGTTGGACCCCCAGTCCCAAATGCGCATTCGCTTTGCGAGGCAGCATAAGGAGGCGCTCCCAAGCCTTGCAAAGGTTTGCAACCCCTTTCCATTCTTGGGGGTCGGGAAGGCTCACATCTTATCAAACACAGCTTCTGGGACAGTACGTGTTCCACCCCAGCAAATGACCTCCCGAACCTCGCAGAGGTGCCTGGCCTTGAATTTGCTGCGAGTTCGTTCACCCCTCCATCCTCTCCCTCACGGTTCCAGTGAAGCCCGGGGGCCTGCAGCAGAGGCCGCAGCACTATTTCCCGACGTGGGGAAGGAGAGCCGGGCCAGGCCTCGGCTACTGTCTCAGACACACTGCAGGCTGTGCAGGGGGCCCTGGAGGAAGCTCCACACTATGTCCCTCCCGCATGACAGCAAATTGCTAAAAGTCTTTAAGTGAAAGGAAAAATGGTACCAGATGGAAACTCAGATCTGCTCAAGAGCGAAGAGAACTGGAAATGGTACGCCTATTAGTAAATATCAGACTATTCTGTCCAGTTAAATATCTATATTTGCAAGACAATCGTGCCCAAAAGAATGACGATTAACTGAAGTCGCAACACAGCAACGATTCTTTCTCCTCTTCTGCTTCCGCCTGTCTGCACGCACAAAGCCTAAGCACACGGGGCTCTCGATTATCTTGCTCTTTTGTAGTTTAGCTGTGTCCATATTGCACAATCTCTCTCCATAGTTCTACCGGCATGTGCAACATCTTGGTGCTATCCACACAATTTCAACAAACTCTGTGGAAAAGTTTAGTGAGTTTCTGTCGCTCGCTCCTCTGGGCATAGGAATTCAAATACAGTCTCAGGAACTGGATGACGTCCACATGCCTGTGACATTCCCATTGTCCTCATTCATCCTTACAAATTAACATAAATAGGGCAAATGCTAATGAATGGTAGGGGACCTCATGGTGGAAATGTGATCTGTATTGCCAGCATCTGTTTCCGGCTGAACTTGCCATAAAAGGCTCTCATGGACAACATTTTTAAGTCAATTTCCAGCCAAGGTGAATATAAAAATATACTCAAAATAAAAATTATAGAATCGGAAGGGTGTATGTATAAATACATACTAAATGTCCTTTAATTTCAATTCTGCAAATGTTTTTGAGCCTCTAGCTGTGATCCCTGATAACTTTTTCTTAAAATCAATAACTTGAAAAGACTGGAAATAAAATAAGCTTTCTTTTAGATTTGTTAACGTGCTTTTTATAATGTACAATTTTAGAGGAATTAAACTATCTACTACCGGTGATCTGTAATTCCAGATGATCTTTTCCACTGACCTCTGGGACTTTGTAAGAATAAAGCACTTATATTTATAACCCTTGGTTCCTTTTTCCATAAAATGAGTTACGGACTTATTCAGCATCTTTTAGATTTTTGGGTTTCATGAAACAGTTCAAAAGTGGAAGGCAAACCAACTTAGAGCTGCCATTTCTTTTTTCATAAGGACTTAAAATGAGCTAACATGCAAACTGCCTCACTAGTTGAAATATTTAATTAAAAAGAACATTTTAACGATAAAAAGGCAAATTACATACCTTTTTTCTTTCTTATTTTGATCATGGACTGGTAAAATTTCATAAATGTCAAAAATCATTCCATGGACCTGTGATTAAACATTATCGAATTAAATGTTTTTTGCTATGCCTTTCAACTACGAAATTCTATGATCTATATCATCATTTTGATACTTTATGTTAAGCAAGCACAATTGGCATTATAGGGCAGTATGCCAATTAAATGTTAATTTTCTTAATTGGATGGGATCGAAATAAATGTGCTTTTTTAAGAACAAGGGAGAACATCTTCTAAGGTTTGATGTAGCACTTTGCCATAACACATCGCCACACGCATTAAAGAACTTTTCGAAAAGTCCCTGGAGGAAATGACAGTGTCATTTGGGTCTATTAAAGCGCCATTCTGATTGCACAGAGTAAAGGAGAAGTTGACTGTGGTAATACTAGTCTTTATCTTAGAGACCAAGAGTCATTTTGCAAATTTGTAGTATCATTTCCCTAAACAACTCAGGACTGAGTTGTACTTTAGTTCCTCAGTTCTACACTTTTCTGTCTCTACAGAGGCAGAAACACAGCTCTTGGAACCTTCTGTTTTGTCTTATTTTTTCATTTTAAGCATTACTGACAGAGTTGAGATAACTTTTTGTTCTACCATGAATAACCATGGAATAGCATTAACAAGTGGAGGATGTAATAAATTAGGCATCTCTTCATTTTAGAGAGAGAAGATGGAAACATCATTGATTTTCTTTTCTCAATTAAATATGTGTGAATCAAAAGAAAAAACTTTTTTCAGGCTAATGCATGGTTTGGCAAAAGAGGAAACAAGCAAAGGAGCCAAAATCAGGTAAAATTGTAATTATTAAAATCTGACTTCTACTTTTAAAAACATCCTTGATGCATATTTGTCAGTCCTTGTTTTTAAAATATCTGGTTGAAAATATATTGATTGTGCTCTTAAAATGTTAAGTCTATTTATTAGGAACAAACAATTGTTAAACCTAAAGTGTGTTCATTTTTTAAAAAGTGCAACGATTTTAACCGCACAGAACTAGTAACAACAGTTATCGAAACAGAATCTTAAATACTTCGCAGTCACTGAGGAAAAACCAAATATATTTCACATCTCTTAATTCTTCCACAAACACAGTATTTTAATGGAATTCTTTAAGAAAACCATTGGGAGCACGTCGGGGTGGGAGGTGGGTGAAAAGGAGTGTTCAAGAGATTGCCAATTACAAATGGACGGTCAAAGGAGAGATGCTAAGTGTCACCCACATTTTCCTGCAGCTAACACCTTCTCATTGCAGAGCTAAGGAAAAAAGAAACCGGCTAAGTCTTCTCCTGCAGAAACCCGAGTTCCATGAGGAGACCCAGACCGGTAGATATGGGCACTTGGCCAAAGAAACAAGGTGAATAACTTTTAAATACTTAGGGGAGATTTTGCTGACTCTATCCTTAAAGATTTAAGAAAGAGGAAATTAAGGATTTCATTTTATTGGAAATTACACTGCAATATAAGGAAGGTTAGAGATCTCATTTCAAAAAACTAGGAATATTCCATAAAATTTAACCACTTTAATGGCTTGAATTGGATAATCTTATAAAATTTAAAGCTGCTCTTTTAAAATTATAGACCTGTCAATTTTAAATGATATATTTTACTCCTTATTAAACTAATGAAATACTCATTAAGAGTCTTCACAATGTAAAATCGTCATATAGTAGTTTGAAAAAAAAAAAATGCCCTAGGTATAATAGCAAGTAAAGCACAAAAATGAATGTTTTGTAATGTTTAGCTATTTCTTTAATTCAGACAGAAAATGGAATTGCCTTAAATAATTGTATCATACACATTCTTCCAAATTTGAGATATGATCCGAAAAAGACCTAAAGCAAATATATTCAACGCAATGAACTATCGCTATTGCTAAAATATGTTATATTAAAAATGTTTCATATTTTCTATCCCTTTAAAACATCATTAGTCACACTTCCTATATCTGTTTAAAAAAATGCTGCATATTGTGGTAAGAGTTTCAAGGAAATTGCAGTTTAAAAAAAAGTTTGAAAGATATCGTCAGCTTAGTTTTATTCTATTTGCTGAATTGAGAAAGATAATTGGCCTGATTTTTTTTTCCTTTGTTTTAACCTAACACAAGACTAATTTTTCCTTAGAAAATAATCAAAGGCCAATTTGAAAAGAAAGTTGGCCAATTTTTGAAGTTTCCAATGTAAAAAGAACTTTCATTCTGTAATAATTAAGAGAGAAACTGTGAAATTTGGGAAAAGAGCAGTGTTATCACATATGTTAGAGCAGATCCATAAACAGACTTTCTGCACGCTCCATTATAAAACGTTTATTTCTTAAACAGAGTCTCCCCTGAAGAAGCAGTGATATGGGGTGAATCATTTGACAAACTGCTTTCCCATAAAGGTTGGTGGCATTTTTCCCAAACATTTTATTCCTTGATGTAAAATTATACAAAGTACGCTTGTAAATGGACAACAAAGGCTGTCTTAAAAATTTAGGCTGATTGGTAGTTTACAGCAATCTGAGTTTCTGATCAACAGAATAACGAAATAATAGAATATGTAACTAATGGAAAACATATTTTCTAAATAGTCTCATTTTATTAAGAATTACTTCTTGTGGTGGAAATATCATTTCTTTATGCCGTGGTTAATAGTTTTAAATTTTTAACATTTCTTGATTTGTAAATGAGACCTTTGGTTTTATTAAATCCAGATAATCCGTGTTATTTTTGTTGTTAAGTGAGCTAAAGGTTATTCTTTTGATAGACATTCAAAAAACCCTCAAGAAAATATGTTGTTGTTGTTGTTTTAATATTATAAATGTTTTACTCTTCAGATCAATCATCTATTTTTAAAGCAGAACTTAGTAGAGAAGTTGAGAATCAGGTGGGTATTTTAAGGTGGAGCTTTGTCGATGAGATAGAAGGTGGAGATAAATATGGAGGCTTGTCTGAGGGTCCTACACTATGATGAAGCATGTTAGAGGGCAGGCTTTAGGGTCAATTTACATGAGGCAGCAGATTCGTGAGCTTTTTTGGTCTTTATTCAGTCCATGATTTTTTTTCAGGTAGCGAAACTGAAAAGTTGAACCAAGTAAGCAATGGGGCTGGGCAAGCACAGCGTCCTTTATTTTCCACTCTGAATCAGGTAGACTCTGCTTAAGAAGCAACCATTTATCATCACCAAACAGCCACACACTTCCTCAAGTCCAAAGCTGTCATTCGCATCCCAACATTTTCCTATTCCTTACCCCATTCATCGAAACCAAAAATCTTCCCAGTAATTCCCCAGGACAGGCCAAGACGAACTAAGCCAGACTGACTGCTCTAAGTACTGTTTACAGCATCGCTTATCGGGGCTCACATTCTGAGGTGTCTCCTGGAAGAAGGGATTCCTACTGTGTGGCAGCTGGGAGGGAAGTGCCTGTAATTCAGCCTCAAATTCTGTCCTCCATCTGATGAAACACCAACATCTCTTGTCTGTCCTCATTTTCTGTATTTTTTATCCTCCTTAATTGTCTATGCCTCTATCAGGTTTTGGTGGCCAGTTCATGTTCCCCTGAATTTACTGACATAAGTATGCTATTTCTGCAGATCATCCCTGAAAACTTTCCCTCTTCCATTGAAAATAGATTCTGCTTCGGAATTGTAGTATTGACTCAGAGAAGAAAAATATAGGTAGAGACAGCAAGGCTTGAATGTAGGCAAGGATGTAATTAATCAATGGAAATGCAGGGTGCTAATAAGAAAACTTATGCGGAGGAAATATAACTTGTTACTCCTTTCTCCGTATTTCATTTTAGTATTCAATCACTCCCTATTTTCGAGAAGAATCACGTAAACAACTTTCCTCGACCACTCCCTCTTAATTCCCAATGTCTAATTATTTCTTAACTACTGTTAAAATTCTTGCTAAATATATGACAAATCTGTCCCATCCTCACTAATTCAGCCACCGCTGTTTTGGTTCATTTATTAGTTCTTAAGACTAATTAGAGCAACCTGTGTAAAACTTTCCTCCATTATTCATGCCTCCCAAATTGTCTTTTTAAAACCTATTATTTCCAATGTTTGGCCCATCCCAGCTCTTCAGTTTCTTTACCAGTCAGAGCAAGAGGAAAGGGGGAGTAGAACTCACATTTTTTACAACTTGACTTTATTATAAGGGAGCAGATGTGTTTACAGCTATGGATCCCCAAATCCAGCATATCACCTGGTAAATGTTAAGTGCTCAAATAATATAAGCAAATTTGTTACTAGGAAAGATTTAGTCCAGGTTCCTTTCAGATTTGAGTTGTGTGTCTTTTCTACATCATAATGGTTCAGTTTCCTGATCTAACTTTCAGCTTCTTCTACTGTAAGTGGGAGATAACAAGGTCTTTAGCTCCAATGGACACAGATTCCTATCAGGATTAAATGAAATGACAAATAAGAAACCAATAACCGTTTGCACAAATGTAAAAAGTTACTGCTATTATGAAAAATAATTATCGATAATTTAAAATTTAATTTTTTTCTGTTTTCCAGTTCACTCCCAACTGGATAAACATCATTTACAGGGTTAGATTTTAATGGAAGGAAATATATAAGACGAATTTATTTCTTTAACAAATCAGTGCATAATAATGTCATCATACTCTCACGACCCATTGAGAAAGAATGATTTAGCAAGGGTAATTAGTCTTACAGAAAACTCTCCCCTGGCAGTCTATAATCGTGCTAGTTTTGGTCAAAACCAAACAGGAAAAAAAAAAAAGAATCTGCTGCCCTCTCTTTTCTCTACTGGTGGAAATATTAAAGAGCTATAAAATAGCATCAATTTGAATCAGGAGGGGGTGACACGAATAACAGAATATCAGCATTGACCCACTTGGATGTTATAATCAGTGCTCGAGATCAAAGTGCTAATTAAATTATATTGAATTCATAAAAAAAAAAATATGTGACTAGGATTCTTTTCATCAATCCTTAAAAAAAATCTAATTATTTTAATTGCAAAGCTTACCGTATTATTAAATTAAAAAGCTTAAAATAATCAGCTAGAAATATGTTGTGGTTGCAATGGTTAAATTCAGCTCATTTCTACTGAGTTGACTATATATAGGAAAAAAAATTATTTTGTGTGCATACACACACACACACACACATCCAAAAAAATTTTGCTTTATCTACCAAATTTCAAAGAGTTTCCCTTTGGTTAAATATGTTTCTCAAATTCTGTATGTCATGATGTCTACATAAAGGAAATGAAAATTATATTACATTTAGTTGAATGAGCAATGAAGTGATAAATCAAACAAAACAGAATAGAAATTTGAGTATTCAGTTTGATAAAAATGGCTAATATTAAAATCACTGGGGATTGATTATCAGCATCTTTAGGAATGGAGCTACAGAGAAGATGGTCCTTCCTCTAGATTTGAGGAGTTTAATCAAAATTCACTCGCTGGGCAAGGAGAAAAAGAGACCATCCAAGCAGAGAGTCAACACAGGCATGAGGCATCAACTAATGCAATGTATTCAGGGAACTAAAAAATAATAATAATTCTTTATTGAAAACTAATATTTGAAAAAGGGTAGCTTGGGGTGACAGATGAGACTAAAACAGAAAGGGCCTGGTTTTGCTGTGTCCTACAGAAACCAAAGAATTCATGAAGTGGTTTGGTATTTCCACTGCTTTATTTAAATTTTATTATTGAAATGTAATTTCACTCTTTTAAAAATTAAAAAAAAAAAACACACAGAAGGTAAAATCCAAGGAAATCTAAACAAAGTATGGACTTTAAATAATTAAAATCTGTCATTTTTAATAAGAGGAGAGAACTGGATAGAGGATATATAGAAACTGTACTATCTTCATAACTTTTCTAAAATCTAAATCTATTCTAAAGTAAAAAATTTTTAAATGAGCTTGAACATGTTATTTAGTAAATTTTAACACAGTGAAATCCCTCAGTAATTTAATTGCTGTTCCTTATCTGTTTCTATGCAGGTATTAGAATAATTTTTTCTGCCATTCCTATTTATTGGCAAATTTGCCTGAAATTGCAAAACGAATCATAAAAAGCTATAATTCAATTACATGTATATTAATTAATAATTTCTAAATGCTGTTAAATTTTAAAAAGCATAAATAAAAACCAACACCAGAATGTAACTATCATTCATAATACCAATTTCAAATTCAGGCATTAGTGTTTTCACTGATTGCCTTTATGAAAGTAAATGTTATCCATATAAAGTTAGCAAATCAATTAATAGCAATAAAATTATGTACATGTATATTACACTCACACATATATATGCATTTACATACATATATGTATAAGGTTCTGTGTAAGATGTCTTAGAAAGTAAAATAATTTTGTGAATAATATATACTTCTGAAAACAACTGGCTAAGTACTTTAAAAATACTGTAAAATTTGTGATGTATCTTGTAGGTTTAAGAAAAATCATTAAAAGGGATTCTATTGATAGGTGCAAGTTTTTAACAGGCAGAGGGAAAGGTAATTCCTGAGCAGAGAAAAAGGTATGAAAGGGCTAGAAAAGTAAGAGATTTTGGTTCAGCCTTAAAGAGCAAGCAGTTCACTTTCCCTGAGGCAGAGTAGTAGGCAAACACACTGGAAAACCAAGTTGGGCGCAAACTTTGGAAGATTTTTTCAGAAAGCTAACTCTGATGGCGAGAGAGAGAATTCTCTGAATGCAATGTCATCTACCTACAAGGCTGTTACAAATAAAAAAAATGTACCTCAAGGTAAGGGCTGTTTTGGAAAGAAACTGATGCTCACGGTGGCTGACGGAATGTGCACTTATCTTGCAAAGTGAGATGATGATGAAATAGAAGATGAAGCAAAATGATGAGCCAAAGATACCCAGGTTTGATTCCACATTAAAAGGAAGATAGTGGCTTCGACAGATGAGAAATAGAGCCGGGAGAGCGAGATCCGCGAGAAGATACCAGGTTAGCATCCGAACATATTTAGTTGCTGGGAAGTTTATCAGAAGTTTTTCAACGTTCTAGAGGCACACACCTAGAAGGTGGGAGAGTATCTGAGTATAGACAGAACTACTCTAACTGCCTCACACAGCAGATAACCGAAGAGGTGAAGATGAGTGATATTTCCTGTGAAAGGCGTCTCTATCAGTAAGAACATTTTCTGAATGCTACATAACTTCGTTTTCCCATGCACCCGTTCTTGTAGTCTTGGTAACTATAATATTTTTAACCATTTTTATTAACAACTGTTTGCTTGGACTTTTTGCATCCTGAATTGTGGTTCCACTAAGCTTAATGCTGAGAATAATCCAAAATAAGTAAGACAAAAATAGAATATATAAGTCATTGTACCTCCTTGATTTAAAAATGTGAACTGATTATACTGTGCAAAATGCTTATTATT